AATGCACATCCGGTGTGAGCCATCCTTTTTTCTTAACAAAAAGGATCGATGCCCCCATACGACGAGCTACTCGACCGAATAAACCCCTTCCCCAGTAGCTCTTGAAGCTGCGAGGATAACTCTTGCATCTCCTGTGGCGCAAGGCGATAGGGTGCCTTGGCTATCGGCGTCGCACCCGACATTAGGTCAATCTGAAACTCCACTTGTCTCTCTGGAGGCACACCCGACAACTCCTAGGGAAAAACATCCACAAACTCACACACTACCGACACCTCTGAAACAAAACTCAATCTATCACCTCCAACCCGCGTATCCATAACATACGCCAAGAAACCCATACATCCATGATGTAAACTCTGCCTCGCTCGAGCGGCAGAACAGAAAGTTGATCTGGTCCTAGTATCCTCTCTGTACACTATGAGAACTCCCCCACTAGGGTCTCGTATAGTCACCAACTGACGCTCGCAATCTATAATAGCTCCGAACCGACTCAACCAATCCATACCCAAAATAACATAAACATCTCCCATCGCAATCGGTACTAGATCAATCGGAAACTCAACACCGAAGATCTCGAGTACACATCCTCGAATCACATCAGTCGCATATACTGCTTGCTCGTCGGCTATAGAAACTCGTAGAGGTCGACTCAACGCCTCTCGACGGATACTGATGTGCGGACTAAACGCTAATGATCCAAAAGATCGACTCGCACCCGAGTCAAATAACACCAGAGCAGGTACATAATTCACAAGAAAAGTACCTACGCATACCATAATATAAGCATAGTATCTTAAACTCGAAATAAATAGATGAAAGAATACATACCAGCCATGACGTCGGGCGCTGCGCGGACCTCCTCCGCTGTCAACTAGAAGGCTCTCCCGCCAGCCATCGGTGCCTCGACCTTCACTGGTCGAATCTCGGTAGCTCGTACGGCAGCAGGGGCAGATCCATGTGGTGCTTCCTGTGCCGACCACTGCAGTTGTGGACACTCGGCCTTTCGATGGTCGGTCTGGTTGCAGTGGAAGCACACTGCGAATCCCTAGGGGCAATCCTTAGCCATATGCCCCTCCTTGACACACTTGTAGCAAGACCCCTCTCAGTAAATCCCACAATGGCTCTTGTCGCACTTGCCACAAGTGCGGACCTTCTGGTTCCCTGATCTCAAATCGACGGGCTTTGCCCGCTTGGCGGCCGGCTGGGACTGTGTTGGTCGCCAATCCCTCCCCCGAGACTATGTCTCCTCCTTGGCCTGAGTCTTGAGCTCAATCTCCCTCTTCCGAGCATTTGCATGGAGATCGGTAAATGTACGGTATGTCGAGTTCGCCACAAACTCACGAATGTCCATCCTCAGAATACTAAGATATCGACTCATGCGTGTTTGCTCGGTAGACACATGCTCATGGCAAAACATCGCCCTCTCGTGAAACATCTTGGTGATCACAGTAACAGACTCAGTTCCCTACTTGAGGGACAAGAACTCCTGGGCCAACCGTTCCCTTTCCACCGGGGGAACGTACTCATTACGAAACATGGTGGTGAACCTCTCCCAGGTCACCGCGGAAAGCTCTGCAGAAGTGAAGTGCGATGTTACAAACTTCCACCGGTCCTCCCAAGCGAAGCTGGTTCAACGCGAACCGTACCCTCAGATGCTCCGGACATGAACATGTGTAGAAGCATCCCTCAATGTCAGAAATCCACCTCATCGCGACTATCAGATCATGCGTCCCATTAAACTCTGGTGGCTTCGTGTTGCTGAACTCTCGGTACAACAACGGGTCACCTCCTTGTGGCCTGGCAGCAACGACGGTTGCGGTGGCCGCAACAACAACAACATCGGTAAGAGCAGCGTATCGATCATCAAAAGTATCGATCAACGTGGTCTTGATAGACCCAAACATCTCTGGTATCTCATGTCGTATGGCCGCAACCACCTCCTCATGAATCATCCTGCTGATTTCCTCATCGCTGACACCGCTGCTCTCTGGAGTGTGGCGTGTACTCACCATGATGTCTCTGAAATACAATACAAAAATATTATAGACTCGCTCGAGTGTAGTCGCACTCGATAACTCAACCATACTTGCTCCCTAGTACCCTGAGGATTCTTACTTGGACTGCACACTGATCCGGTGTCTTCAATAGTACAGGCCCTATACTACCGTCCACACTGCATCAGTATTCACCCCAAGTCCTCATCCTAGGATCCCATATCACAAGTACTCTATTCTTGTTATGCATAAGCTACTCTCCAACAGACCCTCTCGTAAGCTCCTCGCTGCTACCTACTATCTTTCAAACATCTCATAACAGCAGTAATCTCCTAGGCTAAAACATCACAAATCAGGCCACTCTAGTCCTAATATGAATACCTAACCTACTCTAGCATGCATAATATATCATATTATATCTTATAACACATAATGTCATGGTATTTTGGGAAATCACCGTTCGGGCGTTGGATGATCGTACACACTACTCTGTTATGATCGTTTCAAAACCTTTTCTCTTTTAGAAAAAAATTGCTTTATTGTGAAAATTTTCTCAAATCCTCGATTTGAGTTAAGATATGCCCGAAGGTGTATCCGAGTCCCTCAAACCAAGGCTTTGATACCAACTTGTAACGACGTAAAATTTTGAAAACAAAATTTCACTTTTCAAACAATATAGTTATCATTTAAACATTCTAAAATCCAATGTTCAACAATTGTTATCAAACAAAACATATCCCGATATCACAAATAAAATCCTCTATCTGTGTGTACGGATCATGCTGATGCCTTCCCGCGATCGTCACTGGTACCTGAAACACATAACACATAACACGGTAAGCATAAATGCCTAGTGAGTTCCCCAAAATACAACATACAACACATATTAGCCACTCGAGGCTATAACTATGTATGACCTTCTAGTCAATGTGTATCAGTGGGACCTTCCAGTCCCATAACTCTATGGACCCTCTGGTCCTAACTCTGTGGACCTTCCGGCCCTAACTCTGTAAACTCTGAATCATACATAGCACAACTCACATAGAAATCACATCATGCAAAAGCATACAAGATACTCTGTCACATAACTCTAATTACCACTATAGGTAAAGTATAGTGAGAAGACTCACCTCGAGTAACTCGGTAAATCTCGAACCCGGTAATACTGGTCTAGCCTCCGCTTAATCACATGAAATAATTACTCCAATCAATACAACTCTCAAAGGCTAGACTAATCCCTCTATAAGTTCTCTCAGAATGGTAAAAGACCATTTACCCCTCTTATGGCTCAAAGATCCAATCATTGACTCAACCGTAAAAGCCAACAAAAGTCAACCCTCCGGGTTACACTGTGCGTACCAAATCTGTACACTGGGTGTACCCGATAACTTCACAGAATCGGGGAACGCGACCCCCTACGCTGCGCGTACTAGGATTACGCCCCACGTAAATCCCAGTTTCATGTTCCTTTAGATTTTGGGTATTAAACGATTAAGACACACATCCAACTTTCAGATCTGATTGTCCCTAAGCCTCTTATTCCATAAAGTTAGTGACTTTAAGCCTTTGCATATCCATTTCCAACATTTTAAAGCTCATAACTTAAGCATGGTCGGCTCTTAGTGACCAAAACTGGATTTTTGTGACATATCAACCCCTAATGAGCTAACATGGGACAGATCTCAGGTTCTGGTAGCTTATCAACACATAAAGTTATCAACTTGGGGGGGATAAAAACCCTAAAACATCCCCATACAAAACACAAACTGAAAAGAGAGAAAGCTTGGAGCTTTTTACCTCCAAAATATGTCTTCCCCACTACTAAACTTAGATCCAAAAGCTTGAGCTCTAACTCCTCCTCTTCCTAAAGCTTTCTCTTCACTCAAAAGTCAAAGAATGCACCAACAAGCCCTCCAAGTCACTCCCTTGCTATATGAACGAGATTTAGGGTTTTGGGGGTTAAGTCTCTGGAAATGGTGGCCATAAAAGAGGCCATAATGGTCTTTAAATAGATGGCACTAAAAAGATTAGGGTTTCATGTATGGGCTGGGTATGCCCCGCGTACTGGGCAATCCACCACGATCAATATGCACACGAGTACGCCGAGTGTACACCCCAGTACGCCCCACATTCTCATCATCCATTCTTTTCCTGTAGGGACCAAAGTTGACAATCGCCCAAAGGTTAGGGTCCATAAAACATACCTGATTTTGGATGTTACATCCACATTATCATTTAATTCAAAACAAACAATGTTTATATCAACTTATTATAATATTTATTATATAAGAGCTAACAACATTGTCATTGATATATTTGAAAAATATATATTTGTAAAGATTCCAATATATTGTTATATTCTACGTAACGCATGAATATTCGTCTAGTTTTATATAATCTTAAACAAGGTTGTAAATAACGTGAGACATAGTTTGGCGGGAAAGTAAAAATTAAGCTATAACAAACATTGGCGAGTCATGACGTTTTTCAATGCATGAGTATTTTCTATATATTACAAGAGATAAATCATATAATTATTGCTTTTTATCAAGTATATCAAGTTTTTAGAAGTGTTATATTAGTATTTAATATAAAAAGTTAACAAAAACTCAATTATTTTAGTCTCGATAAAAAAAAAAAAACAAAAAAAATCCGCACCTTGAAAAAAATTCGTGCCATTTCGCGATAAGTCGCGCATTGACATGTTATTTGGACGTCACGCTTAACAAACCCGTCTTAAACGTTTTCGTAACGGCTACACCACGTCTCACGCCACGACACGCCTTGAGGCGTCATGACGCGTTTTTTAGAACCATGATCAAGGTTTTTTTTTTATTTTTTATTCTTTAAATCTTTATTAAATAATATTAAAAAAAATTATTTACTTGGTAACCAAGGAATTTACCATTGCTTTTTTCATCCACAAGGACCACAACCGAAAGACCGACTGTATCCCTATAGGTCATTATGGTAATTTCCCTCTCTCGAAGCAACTGCTAGGGCATAACCGGCTGTATCTGCCTATAAATATCCTTCTCCGTCCTCCATCCTTCATTCTTGATGCAACGCTCCTCGGTAGATCCCGAGAGCGAAAAACGAACCTCTCAAAAGAGTGAAGCGAAAAACCTTCGCAATCAATCCAACTTTTAAATCATTCCATAGATCGAATCAAAATTTTTAATTCAAAATTATAAACTCGCTCAACCCTCTTCAAATATTTCGATACCCTAATTTTCTCGACTTTCGTCTGCAAATTTGGCCGATCTGTCTACAGAGCAACAGTAATGGATATACGGTTCCCGCACTCTCCGGCAGAGGTTGCAAAAGTCCGGCTGGTTCAGTTCGGCATCCTCAGTCCTGATGAAATTGTAATAACGATTTCTTCCCTTTCCATTGCTTTTTTTGGTCATTGTAGACTGAATTCCAGAATCCATTCGGTCTTTCGTCAGTTGGTGTTGTCTTTTGTCTGGTCTTGGTAACATTTTTTTTTTCGGGTTAGAGGTGTTTGCATGAAAAGTTTTGAGGTTAGGAAGAGTTTTCATTGTTTCTTGTTAGTGATCATCATTGGCGTCCTATAGTAATAGTAGCCACTTGTCTTGAGCTGAGGGTTTGACTGAGTAGATGATTTTTTGTCTATTGTATTTGTGGGAGTAGAACTAGACCAACGCAAAAATCATCATGGCTAATATTGGTTATTTTTCTTGTTGCAGAGACAAATGTCTGTTGTGCATATAGAGCATGGTGAAACGACAGAAAGAGGGAAGCCCAAGGTAGCGGGACTTAGTGACCCGAGGCTTGGGACTATTGATCGGAAAATGAAATGTGAGACATGTATGGCTAATATGGCCGAGTGCCCTGGTCATTTTGGGCATCTTGAGCTTGCCAAGCCTATGTTTCATATTGGATTTATGAAGACAGTACTCAGCATTATGCGATGCGTATGCTTCAATTGCTCAAAAATCCTTGCCGATGAGGTACTCTATACAAATGCAATTTGGGTTATTTGGAGTTATGTGGATTCAGTATTATTTATGAATTGAAACAAGGATTTTGTTACAATCTGTTTGGTAGTGTTATGAGTTTTTTTTTGAAAGAGAGGTAGTGCTATGAATTATGACCATATGCATTGAACTCTGTATGCTAGTATGTTTAAATGTTGATGTCCTTATATTGTTTCTGGTTCTACAGGAGGATCACAAATTCAAGCAAGCCCAAAAAATTAGAAACCCAAAAAACAGGCTTAAGAAGATTCTAGATGCGTGCAAGAGCAAAACTAAATGTGATGGTGGTGATGAGATTGATTCTCAAAACCAGGATACGGATGAACCGGTTAAGAAGAGCCGGGGTGGTTGTGGTGCACAGCAACCGAAGATCACCATTGAAGGTATGAAAATGGTTGCAGAATACAAGCTTCAGAAGAAGAAAAGTGATGACTCAGAACAGCTTCCTGAGCCGGCTGAAAGAAAGCAGCAACTTTCTGCAGAAAAAGTATCATTCTGGAACTCCACATTACGTTTCATAGTGAACTATTGTGTTATAATGGCTCATAAGCATCAATATATTCCAGGTTCTGAGTGTATTGAAGCGGGTTAGTGATGAAGACTGCATATTGTTGGGGTTGAACCCCAAATATGCTCGTCCAGATTGGATGATCCTGCAGGTCCTTCCAATACCTCCACCCCCAGTCAGACCATCTGTGATGATGGATACTTCTGCTCGTAGTGAGGTAAGTTTCTTTGTTTTAGGTTCTTTTTAGTCGAGATTTCATTCGACTTACTATTTGTACTCATGTCTGAAACAGGATGATTTAACTCATCAACTGGCCATGATCATCAGACACAATGAGAATCTAAGGAGGCAAGAAAGGAATGGAGCTCCTGCACACATAATATCTGAATTCGCACAGTTACTTCAGTTCCATGTTGCTACATATTTTGACAATGAGCTTCCCGGTCAACCAAGGGTATATATATAAGTCTCTATTCAGTATCAACTTACACAATTGTCCTCACATGGAATATTGTTCATCCCACCTACAGGCTACACAACGGTCAGGGCGTCCTATTAAATCCATATGCAGTAGGCTCAAGGCAAAGGAGGGTCGGATCAGAGGCAATCTGATGGGGAAGCGTGTTGACTTTTCAGCACGTACAGTCATCACTCCTGATCCAACCATTAACATTGATCAACTGGGAGTACCATGGAGTATTGCTTTGAATCTTACTTATCCTGAGACTGTTACTCCTTATAACATAGAAAGGTCTTTTTCTTCGCTTTATTATATTTTTCTCTACTTCTTCCCATTTAAGTTTTAGTTAAACGTGTTTTTTCTTCCATTTTCCGTTAGGCTTAAGGAGCTTGTTGAGTATGGTCCTCATCCTCCCCCTGGTAAAACTGGAGCCAAGTATATTATCAGGGATGATGGTCAAAGGCTTGATCTTCGTTACTTGAAGAAAAGTAGTGATCATCATCTGGAGTTTGGATACAAGGCATGTTTTACCTTTTGTATATCCTTGATTATCTTGTCATTCTTGATAACCTTGTTATCTCCTACACAGGTGGAGAGGCACTTGAATGATGGAGATTTTGTGCTATTCAATCGACAACCGAGTCTGCATAAGATGTCTATAATGGGGCATAGGATTAAAATCATGCCATACTCCACCTTCCGGTTAAATCTATCTGTCACTTCACCATACAATGCTGATTTTGATGGAGATGAAATGAACATGCATGTGCCTCAGTCATTTGAAACAAGAGCAGAGGTTCTGGAGTTGATGATGGTGCCTAAATGCATAGTATCACCTCAGGCCAATCGGCCAGTTATGGGTATCGTGCAGGATACACTCTTAGGTTGTCGTAAAGTCACCAAGAGAGATACTTTCATTGAAAAGGTGATATTTTTAAGCCTTTTTGAGATGATAACAAAACATCTATAATTTGACCCTGTCTGATATGCAGGATGTTTTCATGAACATATTGATGTGGTGGGAGGATTTTGATGGAAAAGTACCAACACCTACCATTTTGAAACCTAGACCTTTATGGACTGGGAAACAAGTGTTCAATCTCATCATTCCAAAGCAGATCAATCTGATTAGGACAGCAGCTTGGCATTCGGAAACTGAAACTGGGCATATGACACCAGGTGATACTCAAGTTCGAATAGAGAAGGGAGAGGTTATAACTGGCACTCTTTGTAAAAAAACCCTCGGTGCATCTACAGGGAGTTTGATACATGTCATCTGGTGTGTTTTCTTTCTGTACCTGTGACATTGTAATTAGTTGGTGTGGGTGTAGTTCATGTTTATAATAATTCATTCATATTACAGGGAGGAAGTTGGTCCGGATGCTGCCCGCAAGTTTCTTGGACATACCCAGTGGCTTGTTAACTACTGGCTTTTGCAACAAGGGTTCAGCATTGGTATTGGGGACACAATTGCTGATGCAGCAACCATGGAAACAATCAATGAAACTATTTCAAAAGCCAAGAATGAGGTGAAAGAACTTATTAGGACTGCTCATGATAAACAGCTGGAGCCAGAGCCTGGTCGAACTATGATGGAGTCATTTGAAAACAGAGTGAATCAGGTACCCTATTCATTATGATAACTTCCACAATCACCATGGCTACACTACACTGGTTATGTGATTATGAAATAGTAACATGGTGTACGTTGTGTTCAGGTGCTGAACAAGGCTCGTGATGACGCAGGAAGTAGTGCTCAGAAAAGTTTATCAGAAAGCAACAATCTCAAGGCTATGGTGACAGCAGGTTCCAAAGGAAGTTTCATCAATATATCTCAAATGACTGCTTGTGTGGGACAACAGAACGTTGAGGGTAAACGAATCCCGTACGGGTTCATAGATCGAACACTTCCTCATTTCACAAAAGATGATAATGGGCCTGAAAGTCGTGGGTTTGTGGAGAACTCTTATCTTCGAGGTTTGACACCACAAGAGTTCTTCTTTCACGCCATGGGAGGTAGAGAAGGTCTGATTGATACTGCTGTGAAAACATCAGAAACTGGTTATATTCAGAGGAGACTGGTGAAAGCTATGGAAGACATCATGGTGAAGTATGATGGTACTGTGAGGAACTCTCTTGGTGATGTTATCCAGTTTCTTTATGGAGAAGATGGAATGGATGCAGTTTGGATCGAGTCTCAGAAACTTGATTCTTTAAAAATCAAGAAAAAGGAGTTTGATCGGCTTTTCAAGTATGAAATCGATGATGAAAACTGGAATCCAAGTTACATGCTTCCGGAACATGTGGAGGATTTGAAAACCATCCGGGAGTTCCGGAACGTGTTTGATGCTGAAGTACAAAAACTTGAAGCTGATCGTGTCCAGCTTGGAACTGAGATTGCCACCACTGGTGACAACACATGGCCGATGCCTGTAAACCTAAAAAGGTTGATTTGGAATGCACAAAAGACATTTAAAGTTGATTTGAGAAGGCCATCTGATATGCATCCTATGGAAATTGTGGAAGCTGTTGATAAGCTTCAAGAAAGGCTGCGTGTTGTCCCGGGTGATGATCAGTTGAGTATTGAAGCCCAAAAGAACGCCACCCTTTTCTTCAATATTCTCCTTCGTAGTACTTTTGCTAGCAAGAGGGTGTTGAGTGAGTACAGGTTGACCCGTGAGGCGTTTGAGTGGGTTATCGGTGAGATAGAGTCCAGATTCCTGCAGTCGCTTGTTGCACCTGGGGAAATGATTGGGTGTGTTGCGGCCCAGTCTATCGGTGAACCTGCGACACAGATGACCCTGAACACTTTCCATTATGCTGGTGTGAGTGCCAAGAATGTTACCCTGGGTGTACCCCGATTGAGGGAGATTATCAATGTTGCTAAGAAGATCAAAACCCCTTCTTTGTCGGTATATTTGAAGCCTGAGGTTAGTAAAACAAAAGATCGGGCCAAAAACGTGCAGTGTGCTTTGGAGTACACCACACTACGTAGTGTGACCCAAGCGACTGAAGTGTGGTACGACCCGGATCCCATGAGTACAATCATCGAAGAAGATGTTGACTTTGTCAAATCTTACTATGAAATGCCTGATGAAGAGATCGACCCGGATAAGATATCTCCTTGGTTGCTACGTATCGAGTTGAATCGTGAGATGATGGTTGACAAGAAGCTGAGCATGGCGGATATTGCTGAAAAGATCAATCTTGAGTTTGATGATGATTTGACATGTATATTCAATGATGACAATGCTGAGAAGTTGATTTTGAGAATACGTATCATGAATGATGAAGCCCCGAAAGGCGAAATGCAAGACGAATCGGCTGAGGACGATGTCTTCCTTAAAAAGATTGAAAGTAATATGTTGACAGAAATGGCATTGCGTGGGATTCCCGATATCAACAAGGTGTTTATCAAATCGGGGAAAGTGAACAAGTTTGATGAGAACGAAGGGTTTAAGCCTGAAAACGAATGGATGTTGGATACAGAAGGTGTGAATCTTTTAGCCGTGATGTGTCATGAAGATGTGGATGCGTTGAGATCCACCAGTAATCATCTGATTGAAGTGATTGAGGTTCTTGGGATTGAAGCTGTTAGAAGGTCGTTGCTGGACGAGCTTCGTGTCGTGATTTCGTTTGATGGGTCGTACGTGAATTACCGACATTTGGCTATTCTATGCGACACCATGACGTACCGTGGGCATCTTATGGCTATCACACGACACGGGATCAACAGAAACGATACGGGCCCCATGATGAGGTGTTCGTTTGAAGAAACGGTTGATATTCTTCTTGATGCTGCGGTTTATGCGGAAACCGATTATCTCCGGGGGGTTACTGAGAACATAATGCTGGGGCAGCTTGCTCCTATTGGGACCGGAGACTGTGCTTTGTTGTTGAATGAAGAGATGTTACAGCAAGCGATTGATGTTCAGCTTCCGAGTTACATGGACGGGCTGGATATCGGGATGACACCTGGGCGGTCCCCCATTACTCCTTTCCACGATGGTGCAATGTCTCCCACAAATTATTTGTTGAGCCCGAATCTACGGTTGTCTCCGATTAACGATGCACAGTTTTCACCTTATGTTGGTGGGATGGGTTTTTCGCCGACTTCATCACCGGGCTATAGCCCGTCGTCGCCCGGGTACAGCCCGTCATCTCCGGGATATAGCCCAACCTCGCCTGGGTATAGCCCGACTTCTCCTGGGTATAGCCCTACATCTCCGGGTTACAGTCCCACCTCTCCAACTTACAGCCCGAGTTCACCAGGCTACAGCCCAACAAGTCCTACCTACTCACCCACTTCACCTAGCTACTCCCCTACCTCCCCAAGCTACTCACCCACTTCACCGAGTTACTCACCCACATCGCCTAGCTACAGCCCGACGTCGCCGGCTTACAGCCCGACATCTCCGGCTTACAGCCCGACCTCTCCTTCCTACAGCCCGACGTCACCATCCTACAGCCCAACCTCACCCTCTTACAGCCCGACCTCCCCATCCTACAGCCCAACATCACCATCCTACAGCCCGACCTCTCCAAGCTACAGCCCAACCTCGCCTGCTTACAGCCCGACTTCACCTGGGTACAGTCCTACTTCCCCAAGCTACAGTCCTACTTCTCCAAGTTACAGTCCCACCTCACCAAGTTACAATCCTTCATCCGCTAAGTACAGCCCCTCGTTGGCTTATTCTCCTAGTAGTCCATACAGCCCTACATCCCCCAACTACAGGTACCAATTACCAACCAGTGTCTTGTTGTCTTTAAAAAAAGCATTATGTTTGTTGATGTGTGTTATTTGTTAAAATGTTTTGCAGCCCCACTTCCCCATCTTATTCTCCAACATCTCCATCTTACTCTCCTTCCAGCCCTACATATAGCCCCACCAGGTACATCTTATCTTATCTTAGTTGTTGTATACTATTTATTATTGAGACTAGAATCATGGACGTTTCATATTTGGTTTTTGTGCAGTCCTTACAACTCCGGTGTGAGTCCAGACTTCAGCCCAGGCTCACCCCAATACAGGTAAACTACTTATTATTATTATTATTTTTTTTTTAAATTAATAATAAAAGATTTTGTTTATAAAATTGTATGTTATGTGGTTTTGGGTTTTGTCAGCCCTAGTGCTGGGTACTCGCCTAGTGCTCCTGGGTATTCGCCATCATCAACAAGCCAGTATACTCCTCATATGAGCAACAAGGACGATACATCAAAGCCATAATAAACATATATATTCTATTTTGGAGAAAACCCTAAAGGATATAATAGATGGATGGATGCTAGTCTTGCATGTGTTCTGTAATTTGTATCTCCATCTCCCGTTTCCATGGATTGGATTGGATTGCTACTTGTTAGATAAAACATGATGGACTTGACTAAAAACAAGAAAGAGTATTATTGTCTTTTTTTGCTCCAGATCTCAACTAAAAACTGGGCTAACTGAATATCCATCCATCAACTTGTAAAATTTGCTCTCCCAAGTTTAATGTCATCGTCAACAATTAGATTTGGTGCATCTATCACCGGACTTGCTTTGAAATCATATGTATTTATTTTTAACATTTAACTTAATGTGTTGCCATACTACATCACTGTTGGTTGGATGACATAAGATACAACATTGAAAAAAACTATATAGATAAAAAGTTTGAAAAATGCTAGTTAAACTGACATGAGCAGTAGAAAGGTAAACACCTAACAAATCATGGTTTATTGCTCCACAATTTACCCTACATCATATGCTTTAGGGTGGGTTCAACATGGACGTAGAGGGTGCAATTTGCCCCATTTTTTTAGAAACAAATCAAACGTGTGTCCGTTTATAAAAATCAGTAACAAACCATCCCACTGATTTGCTATGTCCAAAGGGTGACGATTACCATTTTTATAAAAACAAATCAAACACCTCAGAAAGAATCCGTTTATAAAAATTAGCAACAAACCATACTACCAATTTGCTGTGCTGAAAATATACTATCCTCAAAAACAAATATAAATGCGATTAATAATGTGGAAAATAGAAATCAGTTGAAGAGTATAAACAAAACCCAAACACCATGATGTAGTTTATGATATAAAATGGTTCGCCTAATTCAGACGGCAAGGTATAAATGTTGCTTTGTGTTAGGCAACACAATGATTTTCTCAAAGCTTTCTAACTTGGAGCTCATGAATCATTCACATGTTAAACCATTTATAAAATAACAAGAATAATGAATTGAATAACCATATAGTTCATTATAACAAAGCTAAGGAATCCCTCTTTCTTTTTGCCATTCGACTTCCCAATCAAATTCACTGGAAGTTCGTAGCATAGGTCTCGATAAACTCCAATTTATTGCTTCCTCTCCACCAATAATGCATACTCTTTAAACTCGTTCTTAAAAATGAAATTCCTTGTAAGATATTTAGTAATTTCTGTTAAAAAGTAATCCCAAAAATCCAAACATTTATCTATCCATCCATGAAGTAAATAGCAGCGATTCCATTGCAAATGATTATGTGTATAATAAACTCTAAATATTGATGAAGAATATAGATGATTTCATCTCCAAAAAACATTTCACCAAGTATAAGTTACCTTAGGGAGGAAGGAGTCCTTTTTCATCCCATTCAACCCATTTTCATATCAAAAATAAAATTTTGCTAATTTAAAACAATAAAAAATGTTCTAAAATAATATTAAAAATAAAATTTAATTAAAAAGCCACACGGCAAATAAAAGAAAATACATGATAATTAAAAAAATACATTTAATAAAAACAACATAATTTAAAGTGAAATGCATTCAAAATAATATGGTAAAAAAATGAATGATCATAAGAATCAATTATCTGTATAAATTAATCTTGCTTACAATAAAGTTGGTCACATGCCTTTGGTTGTAAATGTTACATGATTTGTACAATATATATAAAAAAACAATAGAGTCAATGCAAAAGTAAAAGTTAAAGATTCTGCATCATGCAAGTGCTTTTATTTCTCATGCATTTACACTTGAATTGAATTGAATTTACCCCTCTAAACCTTTTGAACCCGCTCAGCCGGTATGGTTAACCAGTAGTACCATTGGTACCATCTTTTCCCGTTTGTACAACCCGCAACGGTACCCTCCTCCCTTATTAATGACAAAATTTGTCTGTAGACATCAAAATTGAACATTTCCGGACCATATTTACTTTAGGGCTTCTTTCTGTTTGAAAAATGTTTTTATTTGTGTTTTATTACTTGTATATAGAGTTGCATCCAAAAAAATTGATATTGAACACTCTGGTCAAAATATTTTTGGAAAACTCGATTAAAGAAGACGAAAATGATGAATCGAGGCGGAGGTAAATAGAACGTTTTCCATCTATCACGTTATCCATAACACATGAGTGAACAAGTGTTGCAAATTTGCAATTATACATACTATTAATTCCCATAGACTTGAGGAATTACAATTTTAACGGTGGATAGACTTGGTGATTAATTTGGACTGAAGCTATTAATTCCCATAGACTTGAGGAATTACAATTTTAACGGTGGATAGACTTCGTGATTAATTTGGACTGAAGCTGTAGAAGCTAAAACTATTTTGATCATAATTAAAAATGATTTAAAACTATTGGACTAATACCGCAAGGTGAGAAATAGTTAAAGGGCTAATTATGTCATTCCTTCCACTCTTCAACCCTCGTCCTCGTATAAGTTCATCAAAAATTTGAGCCGAGGATCCACTTCGTATCATAGCTGTCTGTGTATGAAATCATCGTTATGCAGCCACTAGAAGTGGGTACTCGCGTTCTCTGCCGTTGGAGGGACGGAAAACATCATCCCGTCAAGGTAATCGAGCGTCGTAGACTTCACACCGGCGGGCCTAATGACTACGAGTACTACGTTCATTACACAGAGTGTAAGATACAAACTCCTTTATCTACTTCCTTTTTGCAATATGTTCAATGATAATTGATACGAACTTTGGTCGTTTCTTGAGAATAATTCCCGTGTGGTACCAATGTTATGTGGAGGGACCTTTTTCTGCTTTCTTAGGTTGTTTCTTTGTACCGGATAATTTAGGTTTTATGAAATTGGGGTTTCTTAGAATGACCAGGGCTTTCTAAGAATTGCTGGTTATGCTTGCAATTCACAAGTTGCGAAGGTTACTTTTTTTCTTTCTTTATTGTTTGGCCAGTTGAGCAGAAAGACTAAAAGAATGTATAACTATGTTGTAGCAACTGAACTTAGCTAGGTTTGAATAGGTAGATATATTGGACGCGTTGGGATACTTTTAGTAGATTAAGATAAAAATCGCAAGTATGTATGTGAAACTTCAGCTTGAAATAGATTGGTTTGCAAATGCAACCATTTGCATAAGGACAAGGTCCGCTATCTTCGAACGATTCTCTTAGTTCATAGGAAGATTTGATGTTGAGGGATCTTTTGTTTAGCATAATCACTAGTTTGGGTTGATTTTGAAGCTGTCAAACCAAGTTTTAGGCTTATTTTATCAACGATCAATTCAAGTATCAAACACTTGTTTTATACAATTCATCATGATCTAGTGACCTTGGTAGTTGGTTTCATGCATTAAGATTTAATATAGTCCATGTACTTGGTTAATTATTTCTATTATAGCAATTAATGTTTCTATAGTATGGTTTATCTTATATATAGTTTATAGAATGAAAGGAGTTAAGGACAATAAAAGTATCAGAACATAAAGAACAGATTTGTGTTTCCAAATGGTTTTTCAGTTTTCAGATTTAATTTATTTGAAAAGGGAACAGCTTAGTTTATTTACATGGCAGTAGAAATAGAAATCAAAATACTGTTTAGGCTATTTAAATCTTTGAACATAATAAATGAAAACCGTAATGGCTTCCACAAAAAACATAGGTCTATTGGCACCATATTACTCATTATTTTTTGCAGTAGTGACTACTAGTAGTAGTGTATGTATGTGGCATAGTGGTTTTCTGCTTTTGATATGTGATGAGTTCTCTTCATTTCCTGACAGTCAATAGGAGGCTTGATGAATGGGTTAGACTTGAACAGCTTGACCTTGACTCAGTAGAAAACGATGTTGATGAAAAGGTGGAAGACAAGGTAATATATGTCTACTTTGTTCCTGTTTTTTAATTAGTCATTTAGCATCTTGTAAATCGTAATGCTGTCCTTACATATTGATTCATTATGCTGAACTTTGAAAGAGACTTTACCTGATATCCTTCTTTGGGCATTGATGTCTTTTAGGTAACAGGTTTGAAAATGACACGCCACCAGAAACGTAAGATTGATGAGACTCATGTTGAGGTTTGTGCTATTTCATTATTGAGTTTAATAAGGCTATTGAAGTCTTCTCAACCTTAGTTTTGGATTTGGTTATAATTTATATTATATAGGGGCATGAAGAGCTTGATGCTGCCAGCTTACGTGAACATGAGGAGTTCACTAAAGTCAAAAACATTGCAACTATAGAACTTGGAAGATATGAGATTGAGACATGGTACTTCTCCCCCTTTCCACCAGAATACAATGACTCCCTCAATCTCTACTTTTGTGAGTTTTGTCTCACTTTCATGAAGCGCAAAGAACAGCTTCAGAGACATATGGTGAGTAGTTGTATGCTACCACAATTTCTTTCATATTCAAATTTGTTAAATTTAGATGATGACATGCCATGCTTCGGAAGATGAACAGTGGGACAAAATACATAGTGAAAGGTCACTTTAGGGACAGAAAACACAACAAATGTATCACGGGGGACAATCTTGTAATTTAGTCTTCATTCAACTTAAAACGTTCACTAGCAAGAGATGTTTGAACACATAACTTGTCTATCATAATATCTTTTGGTTTCTTGCATTTATAAAGAAGTGGAAGAATCAACTGAACAATTAAGCGATACTAATATCATTTGTCTTTTTTTTTTTTTTTTTTTTTTTTTTTGCAGAAAAAATGTGATCTCAAACATCCCCCTGGTGATGAGATATATCGGAGTGGTACTCTATCAATGTTTGAGGTATATTCCTGACATTTTAATACATGCCAAGACAAGACACTAACATGTGCATACAAAAAAAATCTAAATAAATGTACATTAATGCAACACATTTGTATATTAAACATTTGAAGAATAAAAACACTTGAAGCGGAAGTGCAATATTACAGTCTTACAGCAGAAAATAAATGCATAGTTTCATTAAACATTGTGTACAGTTATGGTATTAGAGCAGGAAACAAGTAAAACAAACCAATATCAATGTAGAAAAGAAACTATAAATAGTAAAACTCAAATTGTAAAAGTAAACAAGAGATGACAAGTTACTAGTTATAGTTGTTATTAGTAACAATTGTGTTTTGTAACAGGTTGATGGGAAAAAGAACAAAGTCTATGGCCAAAATCTATGCTATCTTGCAAAATTATTTCTTGATCACAAGACCCTCTACTATGATGTTGACTTGTTTCTGTTTTACGTGCTGTGTGAGTGTGATGATCGCGGATGCCACATGGTCGGCTATTTCTCCAAGGTTATTTCTGTCTTTTGCTCATCTTTTTTACAATACTTTGTAGCAAGGATTTTGTTTTATTCGGTTGTTTATGTAATTACAGGAAAAACATTCAGAGGAGTCATACAATCTAGCATGTATTCTAACTCTTCCTCCTTATCAGAGGAAAGGCTATGGAAAATTCCTAATTGCATTTTGTAAGTTCCCTCTTTCCAACTCCTTTAAGTTGTTAGTATAAAAAAAATATATATGTTTTTGATTTGACATATGATATGGGATATGATGCACAGCATATGAACTTTCAAAGAAAGAAGGTAAAGTTGGGACTCCTGAAAGGCCTCTTTCTGACCTGGGATTGCTTAGCTACAGGGGATATTGGACCAGGGTTCTTTTAGACATTTTGAAAAAACACAAAGGAAACATATCCATCAAGGTTGGTCCTTGTGATGTTACAGTTATTAGTTATTTCCAAATATGCCCTCCCTCAGGTCCCTGATTATGTATTATACAGGAGCTGAGTGACATGACAGCGATCAGGGCGGAAGACATATTGGCAACCCTTCAGGCGTTGGAGCTGATACAGTACAGGAAAGGGCAGCATGTGATCTGTGCAGATCCAAAGGTGTTGGATCGCCATCTAAAAGCAGCTGGGCGTGGTGGTCTTGAGGTTGATGTTAGCAAATTGATTTGGACACCTTATAAAGAACAAGGTTGACTTCATTTCCAATCATCCTTCCTTTCTTAGGACAGATACTTAATTGACCTCATCCTGTATATGTAAACTTGATGCTTCTTGTCCTTTAATTCTTGAAAATCCTTGATACTCTCTTCAATGAAGCTGCCAGGGATCGCCTTCTTGTTTTTGTGCTTCTTCTTTTGCAATGTGTATTTTGTATAACATAAAGTTAAACCCCAATTGTTACTCAACAAGGCATGACAAAATATGTTGCATCACATTTGGTATACCGTGTATTAGGACTGTGACCTATGTAATTGGGTGAAAATTGCAGTTTTCACAATTATACTCAACTCTCATAAGGTCATGGAGTAAGGAGAATGTTAAATCACATAAAAAATCTCTTTCAAAATCAAAGCAAAAATGTAGGAGTTGAAGTGTTGATCCGTGATGGAGCCCTATTCTCAATGTGATAGACTCCATATCACTTATTAGCTTACCAACACACGTCCTTGAACGCAAATGTATATCATGATATCCATTACATACCTCCCTAGAACCTGTATATGGTCCTTTGAAAAATTTCCCATTAGTATCATATGTCTTCTCTAGGTCAATAAACACCATATGTAGGTCCTTACTTTTCATCTCTATATTTTACCTATATGGCATCTAAGAAGGCAAAAGCCTTAGTAGTTGACCTCCCAAACATGAAATCAATTTGATTCCTTGTCACGGTTGGTTTACATTGCACCTTGACATTTGATACTCTTGCTCACGGTTTCATGGCATGACTAAATAACTTTTACATCGATAGTTGCCATTAGGGGGTGTAAACGAGGTGGGTTACTCGAGTTCAACTCGAGCCTGAGTTACACGAGCTCAAGTTTCGTTTCAGGTTCATTTATTAAACGAGGTCGAGCCCGAGCTTCCTCTATCAAGTTCGATTAGGCTCGCAAGCCTAAATGAACCTATGTATAATTATATAATATAATTTTTGATTTTAATTTTGTATATTAAATTATAATTAAATAATTAATTATTGAATATCAAATAATGATTAACAACTTTTTACCAAGCTTAAAAACATGATATTTGACTATTAACCGAGTCGAGTTCGAGCTGAGTTGATGCTCGTTTAAGTATGCTGACAAACAAGCTGAGCTCGAGCATTTTAAATCCACAAGACGAGCTTGAACTTTGAAACTTAAGCTCGAATCGAGTTAAGCTTGAGCTTGAGCCCCGAGCCTACTCGAACTCAAGCTCGGTTCGACATGTTTACACCCCTAGTAGACATAACATTGAGACCTTTTTTGTTTTTATATATTAATATCATGGTATTAAGTCTTTCACTCCTTTGACTCGTCAGTTTTATAAATAATGCTAAGTTTTTTAATCAACATGACAAAATCCACCCATGGTCAAAAACCTAAGATTTGAACATGTGACAACTTTATTTTGACATGCACAAATCCAAAATAATCATCACTAGGCCACCCTGACAGTGGTGAGAATAATGTTAAGTAGGTTCGTTATCCATTTCACTCTCATCTTCTTAAGGCCAATGCCATCCTTAATAAATTTTACGTTTTGTGTCCCTTTGCACCCTCTTTTTGGATTTTACTAGTATGTAGATTTCGTTCTCTGACTTCTCTCCTTATTTGTATCTAATCTCTTATATTTTCATGTCATACTCTTCGCTTAAACAACCATTTTGTTTAGCCTCCTTGTATCATTATTTTCCTTGCCCATTCCCACATCCTCATAGCTCAATAAAAACTCCTTGAAACATGTTTGTTACTTCTCAACCTCAACTTATACCTCTTCACTCCAGTCCATCACCACGGTTGGATACAGACTTTTAAAACATGTTTGTAGATCATACATTTTGAATAAAATAAATATCAATAATATTCAATATTGATTTTGAATATGTTAATAAGATATTTTTATTGATATAATTTGTTAAAAGTAATATTTGTTGTTGTCATATATCTTTAATAAATTAAGTTAACAATTTAATAAGAATATGAACGTAACTTTTTAAAACAAAGGGTTGTACGTTAAATCTTTTACATAACTTAACACAATAACGAAAAATGCAATTTACTCATCTTGTAACTTTCATGCTAAGAACGTGCACCAAATGTGTGTACTTTGTGTTCATAACAATGATCAAAGTGCGAGGGGTAAAGCTGTGCACAGTATACAAATAGGGGGTAAATGGAAAAATCACGTCGGAGTTTTTTCCGGACTAAAAATCAGGAACCAGACCCCAAGAAGTGGGGCAATTCTCAAAAAGACCACCACAACGCCAGCAATCGGCGATGGCGAAGTCCACCAAAATCCACCCAACCACTGATCCCGAAACCGACCCTAGTTCCTACTCCCTTGAGAAATTCAAACTCTATGAAACCAGGGCCAGGTTCTATCTCATCGGCAGTGATCGGAATAAGAGATTCTTCCGAGTCCTAAAGATTGATCGCATGGAACCCTCGGATCTCAATATAAGCGAAGACCCTGTTGTTTATCCGCCTCAGGAAGTCAAGAGCTTGCTTCAGCGGATTGCCGAAGGCAATCGTGCTACTGGTGGTTTGTCCTTCGTCGCCAAGGTCTACGGCATCGCTGGTAAGTAATTTGATAAATTGTATATATATCTTACAAAACAATTGAGTTTTTTTTTGGCTGGAACATTGAAATTTTTATTTGGTTCAATGCCTAAATCATCACGACCTACAGAAACTGGTTTCTGAGCATAATATGAACTTGGATAAACAATTTTGATCACATTCATTTGACTACTGAAGACTAGATGCCCGTTAAGAACTTTATGAAATGTTAAACCCTTATGAAGCAAGGTTAAATGGTGTTTAAAAAAGCTAAGAAATGCGTTTGACCCTTTATCTTAGAACAAGTATAATGTTTTTTCTAGATAAAGTGGGGCACAAAACTCTTGTAAGACATTTCCATTTGCTTTAAGGATAGGCTCAAAACTTTTGTATGAACCATCTAGCAGGAAAGACAATCCATTTGGGATTTGGCAATAGACCATATTGATTTACCTTTCACACAAGGTCAAAGTTAAAAGGCTCTCAATAATTTGGTAGTTAATATTTTGATTACTTGTGATATATATTAACTTCAGTTTAATTGGTGTAATTGATTTCAGGTTGTATTAAGTTCTTGGAGTCATATTATTTGATATTGGTTACAAAGCATAGGCAAATTGGGTGTATATGTGGACATGCAATTTATAGCATTGAAGAGAGCCAAATTATTACAATTCCACATGTCTCTGTTCAAACCGATGTTGCTCATTCAAAAACCGAGCTGAGGTATTTTTGTGTTGTCACTACCTCATAAGATTCATATACTAATGATCTTTTCTGGTGTTACAAGGTGTATCAAAAGGACACTGATATTAGTTGGAATAGTTTATTGTTGACCAGTTTTATATTACTTCATAATCTGTTGAGTATATTTTTTTTAATATTTGTAGTTCCATTGCCTTGGCAACACTGCTGATAACTATATTTACAGCTTCATTCATTTTGTTCTTTCTTTTTGGTGCTATGCTATATCTATTAAGTTGTTCTTTCTGCACTTAGTGTAGGTTTAAATTAACCCTAATCTACTTAATGATGACATTGCTAATCTGGTAAGCTATATATGGGTGTTTTCTTACTTAATGAGGAAAGTGTTACTTAATAGAAAATCAGAGAAATGAGGCTTTTCCAGTTAAGTCCTAATTTTCTATAATTTTGCTCTCATTTCTGCAAGTGTGCTATCATCTCCTCAAATGTTTTTTCCCCCATTAAGTTCTAACCTTCTACAAATTTGCTCTCATTTGAATTTTCCTTCCATTTCTTCAAGTGTACCCATTTCCTCAAATATTTTTTGAACACCATTTATCCAGACACACTTTATCCATACAACAGTAAATGGAAAACAAGATACTAGTCTGTGTTAAAAGCTTGAATTCATTTCTCAGATCTCCTGAAATGCACAATAAATATATTATATATATCAGGTGAGTTTGATTACTTTGCTTTGAACAGAGTTCATACTATTGGTGCAGGTATAAGAAGCTGTTATCCAGTGTAGACCTGACAAAAGATTTTTACTATAGTTACACATATCCAATAATGCGAAGTTTACAGAAAAACGTTCTATCCACTGGCATTGAAGGGATGCCATATGATGACATATTTGTGTGGAATGCTTTTCTAACACAACCAATTCGATCAAGATGCAAGAACACTATCTGGACAATTGCTCTCGTTCATGGAAATTTTAAGCAGGTTTGTTGATTTTTCTCTTGCTTGTAAGTATCAAAGATAAACAAAATCATCATCTCCATGAAGGTGTTCTTGTTGTATTTATATATATTTATCATGTTTTCAGTTCAATGTCCCTTCATAAATGTTAGATGTTTGTATCCATGATTACAGATACGGTTATCAGTCTTTGGAAGAGACTTCAGTGTTGCACTGTTATCTAAGCGATCTCGTCACTTTGCAGGAACACGGTATGTGCTGCATTTTTATTAGAATCATTTTAAATTCATTGAGAATTATGATTACATAAATGACTGAATCATGATTAAATAAATGATACAGTTACTTGAAAAGGGGAGTAAATGATCGTGGTAGGGTTGCAAATGATGTTGAAACAGAACAAATTGTTCTTGATGAAGAAGCCGGATCATGCAAAGGGAAAATGAGCTCTGTTGTACAAATGAGGGGTTCAATTCCTCTTTTTTGGTCACAAGAAGCTTCTAGATTCAGTCCAAAGCCTGATATCATATGTAAGAAAGAATCACCAACTCATTGTCTTGTTTATCTTGGTGTATGTTCTGATAAATTAGGTTTTTGCTGTGGTTTCAGTGCAAAGATATGATCCTACATACGAGGCCACCAAACTTCACTTTGAAGATCTGGAAAAGAGATATGACAATCCAATCATTGTGCTTAATTTGATCAAGGTCTGTTTTTATAAGTTTATTGGTGTTTGTTGAAAAAGTTACACGATGATCATGTACACATATAAATATTTATTATTTATTGTAGACTGTGGAGAAAAGGCCTCGAGAAATGATGTTAAGGCGTGAATTCACGAATGCAGTTGGGTATCTGAATCAGATACTTCCAGAAGAAAATCAACTTAGGTTTATCCATTGGGACTTCCACAAGTTTGCAAAGAGGTAGGTATTTCTGTTTGTCAACCTCCTAACCACCCCAATTGACTTTAATTTTTTTTTGATGTGTTGAAGTAAGTCTGCCAATGTATTGGGAGTTTTGGGTGGTGTTGCTAGTGAAGCACTGGATTTGACAGGGTTTTATTATAGTGGAAAGCCAACTGTTGTCAAGAAAAAATCCATACAACTCAGCAGGACAAGCACAGCAAGGTATCATACACTTATTGGCTCTTTTTTTTTTTTTTAATGACTGAAATTGAGAATAATCTTTTCTTTGTGTAAACTGCAAGTTTCTGCAGGGAGGCTTCACTCAAAGATTTGAGAAGTGCTTCAGGGGATCTATCAGTGGCCACAAGTACTTACACTATTACTGATACGACCCCTCAAGACAGAGATGCAAATCATAATCATAATCAGAAGATGAAGAAATATAATCACAGCAACAAAGATCCACAGTTTCAAAGTGGAGTTTTACGAACCAATTGCATCGATTGCTTGGATCGTACAAATGTTGCCCAATATGCGTATGGTTTAGCCGCCTTAGGCCGCCAGCTTCATGCCATGGGACTTACAGATGATCCAAAAGTGGATGCTGATAGTAGTATTGCTGCAGCTCTTATGGATATGTACCAAAGCATGGGTGATGCTCTTGCACAGCAATACGGTGGATCTGCAGCCCACAACACTGTATGTGTAGTTGTGAAAATTAGAAGATAAAACAGTAGCTTAAAAGTTTTAAAAGATTTTGTTGTTGATGAATTACTGCAGGTGTTCCCAGAGAGGCAAGGAAAGTGGAAAGCAACAACACAATCTAGAGAGTTTTTGAAATCTATCAAACGATACTACAGTAATGCTTATACAGATGGTGAAAAACAAGATGCTATCAATTTGTTTTTGGGCTACTTCCAGCCACAAGAAGGAAAGCCAGCGCTTTGGGAACTCGATTCTGATTATTATCTTCATGTATCTGGGATAGGGGATGACCTAATCCCAGAAGGCTAGTAAGTTTTAATGCTTATTCAAATGAAATGCTCTATATTTGGTTTGCAAGTAGTGTTTGGATTTGATAAAAAAGAATATGCCGGTTGATTTTGGAATGTTGAACAGTTTACCAAGTGATGGTGGTGGTGGTGGTGAAGCTGTAAGGTTTTTAGGGGGTTCACTGACACCTGTTGCAGCATGTAAAGAGGATTTCTCACGGATGAAACTGACATCATTTTCCAAACTAATAGAAAGAACAAGTGGCGCCATAAAGAATGTGAGGCTGTGTAGTGAACCGGATCATAAGCCTCCTGGAAATTCTGGAATGGCACCTGATGCAGTTGAAATACAACTTAAAAGTCCAAACTGGCTTTTTGGTCACAAGAAGTTTGAAGAAGGTGGTAATAATGGTATGCTGAAAAAAGTTGCATCAGATGAATTAGCCATGAGAGGGCGTGAAGACGAGAAGAAATTTGATGAGTTGTGTGACCCCAATTGGGTTTCTTCTGCTATTCACACTAATGAAGAGGATGTATTCAAAAGGTATTGTCTCCTTTATACTATAATTATGATTTAGGAATAATCATATGTTTTGTGTAGATATCTTGCAATGACCTCAATAGATGAAGCGAATGGATGGTATGGTGGGACATTGCTTGCTGAGCAAGATGAAAGCAGTGAGGTGTATAGACATTATGCTCAATTCTGTCAGGTGAGTAAATTTCTTCACCTTTCTTTCTGCTGCTGCTTCTTACATTACAAAAAAGAAAAGAAAAACATTTGTAGTGTGTGTGATTTGGTAAATGAATGAGAAAGATTGGTATTGTGATTTTGTTTGAGCAGAACCCTATAATGGAACCCTTCCAAAACGATTCTGATAAAGAGAAGCATTATGCTGAGGTTCTTGGCTCAGTAGCAGTGGTGGAGTGCATGGATGATGCAACAGCAACAGCAACTGTGGAAGATGAGATGGAGGCAGCATTGATGGAGTATGAGCTGATTGGGGCGGATCTTGGTATTTGCCCCAAGACTTTTAATGCTTTGGCTATTGACCCCACTCACTTGACCAGGTGGATGATTGGAGAACACAGGCTGCCTTCTTAACAAGGTCTATGAGTCACCATTTTATTTTATTTTGTACAGAATTAACTTTGTGGAGAGAATGGATAGATTCATGATTGTATGATTGTATGTATGTATGTATATTATTATCAACATGGGTGGTTTCCACTTTTCACTGTCTTGTACTTCGCCATAAATGAATACAAACCTGAAAAATATTATTATACTTTACACGTTTTTAATTACATATCTTCAAGTGAAATGGAACAAATAGGACACTTGTGTCAGTGGGGATGAAACCGAAAGGTGTGCAACTTTCAACCATAAGCTCCTCATCCACAAAATATCATATCATATTTAAAATTTTCATTTTCATTTTCTCTAACTATCATATATAATCATATACCCCCACAAAAATAAAAAAGATAAAAAGAATAATGGCTTCTCATGCTCTCTCTTTCCATTCCTCACAAATCTATCACCAATCCATCTCCAATCCTAATCCTGTTACTCTACAAAGGGGAAGCATCATCATACCTCATGCTTCAAAATCCAGTGGTTTTCCACTTAACTCTGTAAGTCGTTTATTATCTTTAAAACTTATAATATTTATCATATCGTTTTTAAAAATCATACTCACGTTGTTTGCTATAAACTGGGTATACATGGTTTCTTTTATGAAAGATATTTTAAAATTAGAAAAATAGACCAATTGAAAGTTTATACTCCACAAGTACATATCAAACAAAATATAGATAATCGTCATATCACAAAAAAAGTCTGGTCGTAAGTTCCTAACTGTTCAAGATTTTTTTTGGAAATGTTGAATTTTATAAAAAGCAATCAACAAGGAACCAGTGAAAAAAAGTAACAATTACATCAAAGTATGTAAATAGGGTTTTGAAGCTGCAAGTTCCAATTCATATGAAATTTATGCTTCCTGTGAAGACACAATGTCATCAAGAAGACTATCTTTTCTCGACCTAACAAGATCAAACACACACTTGTTCTTGAAGTTCCAAAGGAACCATCAAGGAGTAGAAATAATCACATCCACCACATCTTTACGAGCTTTTGATAAAGAAGCCGAATCTATCAACCCCTGAGCATCATTCAGTATCTATACATAATCTTTAGTGTTTAGATCATTCAGTATGCTTAAAGTATATATTTGCAAGTATTATCTAAAGAAATGTTTGATCAAATTTTAGATAATGTGTGCTATATATATATATATATATATATATATATATATATATATATATATATATATAAAATCGTGTTTTTAATGTATTATGATTCTTGCAGATTTTCAAGAAATGTGAAACCTGTGGAGGTCAAGGTGCCATAGATTGTGGTGGATGCAAGGTCACATTATTTCTCCTGTCAATTCCATAGTTTCTTACTTTCTTTATTATACATTTCAATAAAATACTTATAATTATCCAATTATTATATATCCTGCATCACACCCATTTCTCATGTGTCCAGTTCCCTCATCCTAAGATCTATATAGGGACCAATCGTTTAACATAACTTACATAAATTTTAAAAATAGATAAGTAAACCTTAAACAACCGTAATTAATCATTTTAACTACTAAAAAGCTGCTTAATTCGCATAATTTGAGGGAGGGGGAATTATTTTATAAGAATGTGTTGTGTTTTGTTGACACAGGGAACAGGAAAAAACAAGAAGAATGGAAATATATTCGAGCGTTGGAAGTAAGTTAAGTAATTACTTGCTTACTATCTTGTTTCATAAAAACCAACTTTTAATATGATAATTGATTGAAAAATAATTCGGTTACTTCTAAAACAACATTTAAAAAAAACATTTTTTTTAATAAATATAAAAAAAAGGACAAACAATTTGACCTTTCAAAATCAAAACAATAACCATGGCAGAGGCAGTAAGTTAATTTTATTATCTCTTAATTTCTACTCTAAAAACTGTTTCTGATATTACTAAAACCTATTTATTTATTTATTTATTATTATTAAAATATTGAAGCCTGGTTATTCTTCCCTGACTTGTACTAAATTATATGTTTGATAAACAACACAGATGCTATGATTGTCAAGGTTTTGGACTGAAGAGTTGCCCAAGTTGCGGAAAAGGAGGCTTAACACCTGAACAAAGAGGAGAACGTTGATCATAATACTTTCTTATTTTCACTGATTTTGTATAAAACTTCACTTCCTTTTAATTTTAGATTACTCAACAATGTTTCATTCACATTTTTACCATATTTTTTGCTCCTTATCCTACAAATCCTAACTCAAATGAGTTTTGATGAAACATGCTTTCACAGAGCCACACAACTACCACATAACACCACCAAAGTTCCAATCAAATCAATTGAAACAATTTGAAACCAAAATGAAATTCGATCGCAGCCTTCTACTTAAATTATATAAAAAAAAAAAATTTAAAAGTATCTAGTGTACATAACAATACAACAACAATCGTACCATTTTTCAAAACTCTCTGAAATTAGTGAGTGTTTGTTTTGTTGTATAAAAAAAAGGGTTTAAATAAGCTTCTTCTTGTGGAAAAATCGTTTCAAGTACCACAACTGCAAAACTGAAACTGCAATGCAAACACCAAGAGACAGGATGCTAAACCAAGCCACCCTTGCATTTGTCTTTTCGCTCACTTCCCTCATCTCTGCTTCCCTACACACCATATCCATAATAATAATAATAAAATAATAATCACCACTAACTGTAATTAAAAAACAAAAAAACAGCAATGTACTTTGATTTTTTCTTTTGTTTATTATATAGTATCATACGTCCATTTCTTATACACCATTGTAAAATTGCTTTGTATTTTGCGACATTTTGCTACGATATGAAGAAATGAAAGTAGAATGGCATGACAAGTAAATAAATGGAAGTACGTTGGTTTTTTCTTGCATTTAGCCTAGATAATTATACTAGTAACAATATATAATGTTTTTTTTACCTGTTCTTTAAATAGATCAAATTCTCATGGATGGCTTCCACAGCACCCTCGAGTTTTCTCAATTCGAATTCAACACCCTAAAAGAGAAAAGTCACGTGTAAATAAAGGAAGCAAGGTATAATCAATATTGGAAAAAGAAAAAAATAAAAAAAGTTACTAACATCAATTTTTTCTTTCTTTGCAACGGACTCCCAATCTTTTGCAGCAATACCAATTCGCCAGTCAAGACTAACAGTTAGACCCTTAGTACCTTGATGATGACCATCTACCCAAAAACATGCCAAGTAGTTGCCTGATTCGTTAGTTGTAAATGCAAATTGACCATGAGTCATGTTCTCTTTGTGGTGGAGATTGTTTCCATATGGCGAGGTTACCTGTTCAATTAACACTTAACTTTCTTCATAAAATCATCATTAAAAGTAAAACCACAATACAGCCAAAACTAGGTATCATGGAATCAGGTAAGGAATGGAATGGTTCATTGCATTGGAATGAAGAAAAGCTGTTTGTTTTGTCCCAAAAATAGCTACATTGCAATTGCATTAAGTCATGTCCTTTTTGGTTATGAAAACTAATACTGGTTGTCACTTCCAAACGATTCAAATCATGCCCCTGTTTCTTTTCATCCTCCAAAATTAGTAAAAAACTCTTGATTTCTACTTCAACACCAGTCATATGGTTGCTAAAGTGTTGTCATTATCCATAAGTACAAACTTACAGCCACACAATTACGTGGATCGACATTTCTTGATGCAATATTTATGTGTTCACATTGAACCTAAAACAAGCACCTTTGGCCTGTATGCTACTAAGGGATATTGAAGTGATTATGTGATATTTAATAATCAAAATCAGGTAATCAGCTATAATGGAAAACCTATTTCAATCAATCCGCATATAAAATTTTGACTCAAGCAGATCAAGATCTGGGAATAACAGCTTAACCTAGATCATTATAAACATAAAGTAAAGTTGCGCAAAAACGATCGATGTTTACCCGAACGGAAATTGTGGCGCCGGTGGGCATATGGGCGTCCTCTTGACCATTGATGAGGGAGTAATCAGCAAGAACAACCACGTGGTTTTGAATCTCTTCAGAGACACACTTGGTTCCTGAAGTGGGTAAGTCTAACCAGATAGCTTGCGTTGTGCTGGTGATAGCGCACCACCATATGAAAACCACAATCGCTCTCCAGCTCCACCTCGAAGCCATCAAAACTAGTTTTATTTGGAGTTTGTAGTTGAATGTTTATCAATTTATGTGTTGTGTGTGTGAAGAAGAACAACGATGAGATCTGAGGTTACCCTTTTGTTGAACTTCCTGTCTTCGTCAACTAAAGGCTTGTGTGCCGATTATATCAAACTTGCCGTCAAAAGTATTTCTACTCTATGTCAAAAATATTTTTATGTAGGTATGATAAAATTATGAGAAAGTAAACATCCTTTTGATTTTTGTTCAAGCCTATGTTTTTATTCATATAAAATAATATTATGTGTAATTTATTAATTATTTTTTTTTATTTTTTCTTTTAGTTTTGATACTTGCTTTGATATACCGAAGATAGGTAAAAACAATAACGAATAATGTAAGCAATGACGTTTAAAGACAATTAGTTGTAAGCAATGACCATCGAAAGCATTCATTGAAGAAATATCTGTCATTTTGTTGTGAAAGGAATAATAATTATAAATAGCTACTTGTTGTTTAATAACTATATGTCATTAATAATGTACAATTAATAATAGTGTAAGTGTCAATAATGTAAAATATCTGTTTGTCGTGTTTTGCAATCATACGAATGCAATAATGTAAATCGGTTTGTATCAGACTCTTGAAGATATAGATAACTGGTGTGGAGGATCCATTGATTACACACTCGAATATATATTGCACAAAGAGGTTGGTGACAAGAACAAACATTATTTTTTCTTGATGATGCATACTTTTTAGTATGCACACGACGTCCAGCAAAATCAAGACAAACGAGACTAGTTTTCAGGTCATCGTTCGAGAAATCAAAGCAATGATGCTATTTTTTAGGTCATCGTTGATACCAAAATGAAATGTAATA